TGGCATGGAAGGGGTGCGGGAGGGGCACAGGGGAGGCTCTCCCCTCCCCATCCCTGTTTGCATTAAAGCCACGTGGATGAATCGCACTCTGGCGCTCGGAGAGATTCTTTCGTCTGAATCGGCCGCAGTTTCGCTCTTTGGCCCTGCCCGACCCTGGAATCCGGGCCCCTGGAGACCCCTCAGGCCAAGTGGCTCCAGCCCCTCCGCCCCACCTTACCCTCAGCCTCACAAGGATGGGGGTGGGTGGGAAGTGTCCTTTGCCTGCTCCGAGGGGCCCCCTGCCAACCCTTGGCCTTCTGGCCCCAGCAGGGTGGTGGGCCTGGCGCTAGAGAGCCCCGAGCAGGTGCTGGCCCCGTCCCCCACCAGGATGGTGCCACGTACCTTTCTCCGGAAGGCCGGCCAAGCCAAGGTCGCGTGACCCCCCCCCCTCTGGAGATTAGCTGCCAAGGTCTCAGGGGCAAACATGTCGCCACCTTTCAGGAAAACATGGCAGTGGAATGCGGTGCGTTCCTGGCATGGTCTGCTTATCAGGGAGATGGCAGTTGGCCAGCCCCCGCCCCCCCCTCGGTTACAGCCTCCCTGGTCTCACCTCGGCCCATCTCCTCCTTTCGCCCTTTGGCCCTGCCACCCCCTTGCCCTCTCAGCCCCTCACTTTGGGGGGGGGCAGAAGAAGACCAGACCTGGCAGCCCTGCCCCCACCCCCACCCACTGGCGAGCACAGTCAGGTTTCTGTCCCTCATGGTCCCATCAACATTCTTAGTCTGGAGCAGAACGGGTTCAGTGGGGCCCACGTGAGGGAGAGCGTCTGCTGAATGCAGAAGCTGGCCTTTTAGAGAATCTGTGATAGGTCCATACGTTGGTTGGTCGGTCGGAAGAAGGAAGGCAGGCTAATGATGGGAGGAAGGGATGAAGACGCTAAGGAAGGAAGGAAGGGTTTGAAAAGGGAGATGCCTGGGGTGGCTGGTTGAGCCGCTCACTCTCAGAGGGAGGGACGCATGCACACATGGGGGCTGTCCGTGGGCCCAGGCTGTCCTTCAGCCAAAGGTGGTCCAGTGCAGGCCAATTCCCTGCCAGGCTGACCACTGTCCTAGGTCAAGAGGTAGGTGCCACAACCCAATTTTTAATCTGTGAGACAGACCGTTTCCCTCCCCTGCCCCCCCAGCTCCCATTCAAAGGGGTTTTGCCCCTGCCTTTTGGGGATGCCTCATCAGAAGGAGGAACAATCATCTGGGGATCTTCCCTACATCCAGGAGCAAGAAAATGCACCCACCGGGAAGCGATGGGGCTCGCTGTGCAGAAGTGCTTGTGTTCCGCTGTACTGTATATTTGAGCACAAGGGGTTTTGGGGCTGGGAAATGGCCCTCGTGGGGCGGTTGGGGGTGTCAGCTTGTGGAGAGAGAGAGAGAACGGGTGTGTGTGTGTGTGTGTGTTTCCAGGCCCCTCTGGCTCTGATCTTGGCTCTCTCCCAGATCCTTCTTGGGAGAGCGTCAGGTTGCCCTCCTAGTTCAGCGCAGCTGCTCTGGCGCAGGGCAGGGTGGCCAGGGAGGGAGGGAGAGCCCACCGTCCCAGCTGCAGGGGGGGAGCTAATTTAGGGGCTGCCATTTAAATCAGAGCATAGACAAGGAGGGGAGAAAGCTAAGCCCAGATGCCGGCTGTCTGGGAAAGGAGCAAAAGGGAGATGGCCAGTTCTAGGCAACCGGGGACCTCGGATGGTGTCGCACGGCAGCTCCCATCATCCCCAGTCGGCCTCCCAACCGACAGGGATGGCTCAGAGCTGCAGCCGGATGTGTGTGTGTGTGTGAAATCTGGTGGCCAAAGCACCCTCCTCCGTGCAGGCAGGCCCCCTCGACCCCTGCCCAGCAGGAGAACCACCTGTACACGCACACCCCCAGTGGGGTCCCAAACAATGCCTCCCAGCCCCCCCCTTTGCTGGTGAGCGACGATGGGAACTGTAGTCAGCCAAATGATGGGAGAGCCGGGTGATGGGGCCAACAGGCAGGCCGCTGGTTTCCTGCCCATGTGCACATAGTGGCTATGTGGGTCCCAGTCATTTGGGGAGGGGGCTTGCTTCTTGGCCCCCTCCCCGCCATCCCAGAGAGCGGAGTCAGCCTGAAGCCCTGCAGCGAATCTCTAATAAGGTCCCCTCCTGTTTTGGACAGCTCTCGCTCGTTCCCCTCCCAGCCTCCACCCACCTGCCAGCCCAGGGACGCTTATAGCAAAACCAGGTGGGGGTCTTGCCAGGGGGGCAGCACCCCACAGGAGCTGGGATGCCTTTGCCAGGACTGGTGGGGAGAACCAGGGGCCCAAAATACGGTGGCACACCTGGAAAGAAAGGCGAGAGCAGAGAGACCCGGGAGGCTTAAGGCGTTGGCTTGGAAAGCACGACAAGGACCCAAAGCACACCAGGGTGTGAGGGGGGGGTTGCCAGGGAATCTGGTCCCCCCCCCATGTGACCAATTTAGCCCCTGCCCCAGTGCCCATAAAAGGACCCATGGTCTGCCCCACTGGGAAAGTTTGCAGCCTCTGCTCTGGCTTTCCTCATCAAACGACGCGAGGGTTGGGTTCATTCTTCCTAAAATTAACCCCACGAGTTCCCCCCCCCCCGATTGGACTGGGCGCATGTGTGTGTGTATGTGTGTGTGTGCGCGTGCGTGCGTGCAGGCAGCACCAACCACAGGACGAAAGGCGAACCCTGGTTGGTGCTTCGAGGGCAGGAGCTGCAATAACCAGCTCCCCACCCTTCCTCCCAGGTAGGGCCCTGCATGGCCAAAGGGGGGGAAGCTCATGGCAGAAGGCTTATTTTGGGGGTGCCGCCCTCGATCCCCCAACGCCGTGCTCACTCCTCCGTGGGGGCCAAGAGAGCACAGAACGCAGAGGGAAGGTTTCAAACTTTATTAGCTGTGCATCTCTCGCTGGGAGGAGGAAGAGTCAAGACCCTCAGAGAAAAAAGGGCGGATGGGTGGACGCAGCCGGCAGACCCGACCGGACAAATTCTCCGCCTGGTTGAGGGATCCCCTGAGGAAGGCCAGAGGCTGCTCCTGGCTCCTGGCACCAGGAATATAGGCTTGGCCCTGGGGGCCCCTCCCACTGCATCGTTTTCTGCTGAGCTCTGGGTCAAAAAGCGGCCGGCTTCTTCCTGGCTGAGCAGAGCAAGGGGAGGACGGGAGTTTCCTGGCCCGCCTGGTGGACACTTCCCCATTTCCGGACCCCGCTTCCAGTTGCTTTTGGGAAACGATGGCAGCTCACAAGGGGTCCTGGTTCAAAATTAGCCCAACGGAGACACGTTCTCCGCTGGCAGGAAGATACTTGGGATGGGGCAAGTCCTTGGTTTCAGAACGTGACTGCAACTCCCATGATCCACCAGAGCTCAGACCCTCCTAACCGGGTCTGCCTCCCTGCTCGCCCTTCGACAAGCAGGCCAACCAACCCTCCTCCTCCCTCCCTGGGACGTATGAACCATGACGATAAGGTGCACGGAGGATCGGGGCCCTTCCCCCCCACCCCAGGGACTGCTCAGCAAGCTGAGGAGAGGGAGCTGGGCTCCACCGCCAGCCCCTTGCTGGCCAGGAAGGCCTCCTGCTTCGGCTCTCGCCCCAGGAACTGGCGTAGCATCTCGGAGGCGTCCAGGGAGCCCCCTGGGCGGAGGATGCAGTTCCGGTAGTCCGCCCCCACCTGGAAAGAGCGGAGAGAGAAGCCCCATGGGGAGGGTGTCAAGAGAGGCACCGGTGCTGATTCTGGCTGGGGCTGTCCCCAGCCTCCACCCCCTGCGACTCCCGCGTGTGTGTGTGTGTGTGTGTGTCTCCCATTCAAGACTGGCCTGAAAGGTGGCACTGGGGAGAAGGAGGAGGAGGAAGAGTAGGGGGAGTCCCCTCACCTTCGGGCTCATGATTCCTTCCTGCTTGAACCGGGTGTAAAACATGTCCATGGAATAGACTTCGCTCCAGAGGTAGCCGTAATACTGGGCGTCGTAGCCGCCCGCCAAGTGGCCGAAAGTAGCCGGCATGTTCGTACCTGCCAACGATTCACACACAGGAAAGGTTGCGCAGGGGCCGGGACGGAGAGGCTGCCGAGAAAACGTCCAGCAGGGCCGGCCTTTCTCCACCCACGGCTGCCCTTGGTTAAGACGGTTTGGAAGTCTCCGCTGGCAGGAGGCGACCAGCGGGCATCACCTCATGCCCTAATCCTGGCACCACGACATGAAACAGATCGATGACGAGGCCTGGTGGCCCCTGGACTGCATAGCCCTAAAGCCGTGGCCCTCGGGGGGCTCCTGGACTACAGCCCCCGTCACCACGGGCCACGCTGGTGCAGGGAGAGGCGTGATCTGGCAACTCTCCCCCCACCGGCAACCCTTGGTCCATCCAGGGGGTGTCGTCTGGGGACCCCCTCTGCCACTTGCCTGGGGTGGCCGGAACACCCAAGACCTGGTCGCAGAGCCTGCTGTACTCCTCCGCAGGGTCGGCCTTTGTCTCCGTGTGCAAAGCCTGGTCCACCTTCGCCAGGACGATCTGCCGCAGGTTGAAGAGGCCTGGAGAGCGAAGGACAGAAGGGGTGGCACCCGTCTGGGGTGTGTGTGTGGCTTTTCAGCCCTCCCAGAGATGCCAAGGCGCAAAGCTGGACCCCCCCGCCCCTGCTGTCCACCCCCCCTTGAAAGAAAGGTCCCACCGGCTGGTGTGCCATGGGTGCAAAATCCTTGCCCTCCCTGCAGGAGAAGCCCCCCCCCCACCTGTGTTGGCCTGGCGGGACTGGATGAGCTGCTCCAGGAGCGCGTCCGGGATGGGGCTGCCCGTCTTGTGGTGCCGGGACATCCGCCGGAGGGGCTCCTTCTCCCACACCCAGTTCTCCAGCATCTGCGAAGGGGCTTCTACGAAGTCCCGCTCCACGTGGGTCCCGCTGAACATGGCAAAGTCAGCCTGCGGTTTTTTTTGGGGGGGGGAAATGAGAGAGGCGGCAGCAGCAAGGGGCCGGAACCCCCCCAGGACCCCTCCCTGCCCCCCCCTCAGTCTCCCGAAATCCTAACGGGTAAACCCTGGAGGTTTAAACCCTCGGGAGCCCTTCCCTGCTCTTCTACTGTGACAGTCTGAGCGTCCACAGCCTCGGTGCCCCCCAGGACCGCATTCCCCCACCACGCCCTGCCCGGGGGGGTGCCCTCTGCCCGCACCTGGGAGCACAGCTGGTGCATAACGTGTCCGAACTCATGGAAGTACGTCTCCACCTCATCATGCTGCAGCAGGGAAGGGGCGTCCGCCGTCGGCTTGGTGAAGTTGGCCACCATGGCTGCCACCGAGATCTGGCGGCTGCCATCGGCCAGCAGGCAGCCCGGCTGGAGGCCAAAGCAAGCGGCGTGCCCGTACTTCCCCTCTCTGGTCCGAAGAGAGAACAGAGAAAGGGGGGGGGCAAGTCCGTCCCCTCAGACACGGCCGGCAGAGTTGTGCAAGGCCCAGTGGACCGGACTCTGGCCCCTCTCGGGTCGGGGGGTGGGTGGGGAGCCCCTCAGGAACCAGCCGCCTGCTGGGGACCAGCCGCCACACCAAGGGAGACGACCCCCAGCCTCTCCCCCATTCCTGGCCCCAACCCCCCACTTTCCCAGCGGCCCAGCTCACCGCGGGTAGAGGTCCAGGTAGAACTTGCCGAGGGTCTCCCCCGAGGTGAGGTCCTTGACGGCGTAGAGCCGGACGTCCGGGTGCCAGGTCTGGACGTTCTCCTCCAGCTGGAAGGAGAGGCCCAACAGCTCCTGGTAGATCTGGAGCAGCCCGGCCGTCACCACCTGCATGGGGAAGTACTCCTTAAGGAGGTTGTGGTCCACCCGGTACTGGGTCTCTTCCACCTGGTTCATGTAGTAGCGCATGTCCCAGGCGTTGATGCGCCCGTCAAAGGGGAGGGACCGCTTCTCGCACTCGGCCCGCTTCAGCTCCAGGAGGGTCGCCCGCTCTTTCTCCCCCAGGGGGCGCAGCTTGCCGGCCAGCTCATCTGCAACGGGGTGGGGTAGGATGGGGGTCCGGGGCAAAGGAAAACGGAGGCCGGTGAGAGTTTGGAGAAGCTGGAGGTCCAAAGCATCCGGCCCCAGCCGCTGGGGAGGGGCCTTCCAGAGGCACCGAGGCCTCGAACGGAAGAGCGTGCCCGCAGGACAAAATCAGACCAGGAGAGCCTGCCGCCAGAGGCTCTCTTGGAAGCCAGCGGTTCGGCCAATCCGACCCAGCCCAGCCCCGCTGTCTTCGGAGCGCCTCTGCGCCGAGGGCTTTTTACCCAGGAAGGCGGCCACCGTCTTGCTGTTGCCGGCCATGTTCATCTCCAGCACAAAGTCTGCATGGGTTTCGAACCCAAGGAGGCCTGACTTTCGGGCCCTCAGGTCAACCAGCTCCTTCAGGATCCGGCAGTTCTCCTGGAAGGGGCAAAAAACACAGGGGGGGCGGGCGGGTAGGGTCACCTGCTGGACAGGGGACGGCAAAAAACCACCACACACGGAGGAAAAGCCCCCTTGGGGGGCGAGGGAAACACGCACCTCCTGGCACCGGGAATTGAACTTGGCCTCCATCTGCCTCCGAGTTTCGGGCACCTGGCATTTCTTCATCAGGGGGAAATAATGGGGGTACTTCAGGGTGACCTTCAGCTTCCCTGCCTCAGTTTTCTCCAGGGAGTTGATGAAGTCCTCCGGCAGCCCGCCTGGATGGATGGAAGGAAGGATGGAACGATGGATGGATGGGTGGAAGGATGGATGGAAAGAAGGAAGGCAAGAGAAAGAAGGAAGGATGGATGGAAGGATGAATGGATGAAAGGCAAGAGAAGGAAGGATGGAAGGAAGGAAAATTCTTTTCCACCCCATGGCATTGCCCCCAGGGTGGCGTCCATGCTCTCCACCCTCCCTCCCTCCTTCCCCTCCTCCCTGGGGTTTTGGAGGAAGGGCCAAAGCTTCTACATAGGAAGCCGCCTCCTGTGGCCCGCATATAGGGTGGTGGTGGGGGGGTGGATTCTCCCGCCGTGACCTCACCCAGCTCCTCCTCAGTGAACAGCAAGAACGTTGTGTCCTCGTTCAGGTTCTTGTTGAAGTCTATGCAAAGTAAGCTCATCTTCTTCTTGATGGCTTTGATTTTCTTTAGGGAAGAGAGAAATAATTTTGTAAAGAAGGGGCGAGAGAAGCCGAAGGACACAAAGATTTCTCCCCCTGGGCCGGGGCAACACTCTTAAACATTCAAGGAAACCCCCATTTCGAGGGGGGGGGAAGATGGTTATCTTTACAGGAATCAGGAAAACCCCATAAGGCTGTTAAGAGGCATTGCCCTCAGAAAAGACCCACCCTGCTGGCAAGAATGCACTAGAACTGGTTTCTTTGTAGGGGCAGGCAGAGCGGCGTTTCTGGATTTTCGGCTTTGCCTCCCCAGCCGGCTGCGGCCATGCTTGTAAGGAGCAGGAGAGCGAACTTACTTCCCAACACCTGCAGTGGCGGGTTTACTTTGAGGCCGGCAAAACCTGAAAAGTGCTTTAGCTTTTGCTGACAGGTCACTGTCCTGGCGTTTAAACGGGGTGTGTTTCCTTTCTCACCTCCTGAGTCGCTTCGGGCAGATGGAGGCCACTCCTGCGGCCCAGTTTGATCAGCCTCTCCAGGTACCTCCTGGCCTCCGGCTTCATTGGCGTGTCTGCCACCTTTTCCTGCAAAAATGGTAGTGTGTGTGTGTGGGGGGGAAGGAGTCAGACATTTCCTGGCTCCCTCCCCAGTGCCTTCCTGCCTCCTCCTGCTGCCAAATTTTGCGATGCTGAGCCGGCCAAGGGAGGAGAAAGAAGGTTCTTGTGCCCTCCACAACCCTTCCAAGCCGCCTTCTGATGGGCACGTGGCCTCCGGCACCCTTCTCTGCTCCTCTCCCCCCCCACCTGGAGCCAGATGATGCGTTGGTAGACGTCCCTCCTCATGCTCATCTCCACGTCGAACTCCGAGAGCCGCTTGTCAGCCTCGGTGCTGGCCAAACGGACCTCCTTGGAGGGCGAGATGTGCTGTGGGAAGTCCAGCATGTTCCGCTGAACTGAAAGACAGCAAAGACCCCGGGCAGCGGGTTCAAATCCTGCACCAGGAAACCCTTGCCACTGGCCCACCCACCTCCCAGCACGGCTGATGCTCCTCCCCACCCTCCCAGGATGCGCCTGGCTGTACCTTTCCCCATCTTCTATTTTAAAAAAATTTCCCGTCATTTTTGAAGGTCTGGGAATTTGTCTCTGTTGGCTTCTGCCAAAGTACTTTCTAACATTTGCAAATTTTCTAAATGTCAAAATCTTTGCGGCTTGTGGGTTTTGTGGGCAGGCCTTTCACAGGTAGACGTTATTTCTCACCCAGAAAAGTGAACCTGGAAGCATCACGGCATTTCAGGGACCATGGGAAAGGATGCCGGGCCAGCTGAGCATGGAGATCTTTTGTAAATCTAATGGCTCTTAACGCCTTCTCTCCCCTACGAATCCTGTTGTGGATATTCGCACAGAATGGTTTTACACCCGGGGCTGGCAGGGCTCCGCTCTCTTGTACCCCGTGGCCGGATTGTGGTCTGTAGCCCCTCTCCGTCTGCCCGTGTGCCCCCCCGTCTGACCTGTGTAGTCGACCTCGACGGCGGCCAGGGCCTTGAGGACACTTTCGAAGGAGACCTCCGGCTGCTCCAGGGCCCCCACCGCGTCGTAGACCTCCTTGGTCCGGGCCATCAGCTCACTGGCCGCACTCTCGATCTGGGGCGCCGTCAGGTCCCACCGGAGGCGATTGGGGGCCCGTGGGGGTCCCTGGCCCTCCAGGGCACTCTCTGCCGGGGGGGGGGGAGAGAAGCGGGAAAGAGGTTGGCCAGGGGGCAGGCACTCCCCAGAGAGGCACCGGGAGGGGGGGAGGAACACTCCCAGGTGTGTGTGTGTCTCCTGAAAAAGGCCCCCCCCCAGCCAAGCCAGTTCCTCCTTGCTGGTCCCCCCCCCGTGACCCTTCCTGAGTAGAGGGACTCCCCCCCCCGGGACTCCCAGTGCCAGGGGCTGGCGTGTGTGTGTACGTATGTGTGTGTGCGCGCGGGGGGGGGCTTCCCTGCCCCACCCTGAGGGTGCCAGGCGGACGCCCCCCTTCCCGCCCTCCAGAGTGCCTGAGGGGTCATGGTTCGGGGCTCCTCCTGCGCGCGGGGGGGGTCTTCCCAGCCCCACCCTGAGGATGCCAGGCGGACGCCCCCCTTCGGGGTTCGGGGTTCCTCTGCCCCAGTCACCGATCCCATCATCCCCCCTCCGTCGCCCTCCCCGGTGTGCCTGGCCAGGCCAGGCCAGACGTGGGTTCGCCCGGTGCAGCTTTCCTTCCCCTGGAGTCTCTCCGACCGGGGAGGATGGGAGTGGGAGTGAGGGAGGGGAGCGGAGGGGAGGGGAAGGGACCCACCGGTCGGGGGAGCCATGGCGGCTGCCTTTGGGCCCTGCCCTGCCCGGCGCTCCGGCTCCCTTGGGCTGGAAGAGGCGGCTCCGGCTTCTCCCGCGGAGCCTCTCACGTGGAGGGAGGGAGAGCAGGGGATCCAGGGACAGGCCGGGCGGGAAGGAGGGACGGAGAGAGAGAGAGAGAAAGGGAGGACCTCCCCACTCCCCTCCCTCCTCTTCTCCCCTCCCCGGAGGGTGTCTCCTTCCTCACCCCCCCTCCAACTTTGGATGGGCTTTGCTCTGGCTGGGGACTACAAGCCCCAGCATCCCCTGCCCAGCTCTGGCGGGGCTCTCTGTGGGGCCCCTGGTCCAAACCTTCTCCCGCCCCCGCGAAGTCCTCGTCTCTGTGTGTGTGTTTGTGTGTGTTGTGTCCCTCCCCCCGCTTTGCTTTGGAAGAGCCGGACGTGTCGGGGGAAAACCTTACAGCCCGCATCCCCGGGGAGGGGCGGGGCGGGACTTGCTCCAAAGAGGGTCGGGAACGCCCTTCGCCCAGCGGATGACGCAAGGGAGGGCACGGCAGGGATGCCCTTCGCCACCATCGGGTAGCCGAGGGAATAGGGTTTCCCGGGGGTGGGGGTGGGGGTGAGCCCGGAAATCTGTCTGCAACAGGTTTTCTCTATTTCCTAACTCTATGGGCACGGGAGAATGGTTGAACCCGCTTGCGCTCTCTGCGCACGCGTTCTTTTGTGACGGGAGGTGAGCCTATGCCCTCCTGCGCGTGCGCAACTTGGAATTGACTTGGCCGTCCATTACTGGCGGACCTACGTCTTTTGCGCAGACGCGGTAACCCGTCCGCCTGCAGGAGGGTGTGTGTGTGTATGTGTGTGTGGGGGGCTCTTTCCTGACGCCTGCGCAGAAGAACCTGGGCGGGGCAAACAGGACAAGGGGGCATTAACC